GTCAAACTCTCAACTTGAATATTTTTCATTAAGGTAGTGAAAGAATTTTTATTTCCCTTTCAAGAAGCTTGAGTTTCAACTAATATTGTTTGTTGGCAATATCATCATGTATTGCCTTTAAAAAAAGAAAGAAAAAAAATCTTATTTTCAAAACAATTTTTAATTTCCCTTTCAACTTCTATTGTTTGTTGACAAATGGCAACATCATGTATTGCCTTACAAAAATCTTACCCTGGCCTTTCCTTAGGTAAGTTTCATAGTAAATTGACTTCTCTTTTTCTTATCGTTATTATTTGTAATAACAACCATTGTACTATATGTATATATTCTTTATTATTGATAGCTCGATATATTTATAAAGACTTATGATTACATTATCATATTCGGAGTATAATACCAATATATATTCCTACTTTAACTTTTTAATTTCCTCATCAAAGTGGAGTAGGTTGAACAATGATATCTAGAACAATAATTGAAGAAAAAATAAAGAATAAGGTACAAATATTATTCTTTCTTAGTGATAGAAAAATGTTTGATTGTAAATGATAAACCGTTGGTGATGTTCGTACCACAACCTATGAGCATATTTCTAAGCAAATAAAGCAAGCTAAAATGAGTACTAATTCTTTCTATAAATGTTCGATGATTGAAACATCTAAAAATTCCTGATTTAATTTCCATTTTCCTACATTTATGAACGAACATTTGTCACTTGTAGAGCTTTAGTACATTGTGGTGCGAACCTCAACAATAATAATCTAGGAAAGCAAAATAAAGCACAAATATTCCAACTCCATACAAATTAATGAAATTATTGATCAAATTAAATTAAAGGATCTGTGAAACAAAGAGTATTCCAATTAATATTCTTGGTCACAAAACACATTGTATCTTTGCACATGATTGCAAGAATAAATTATTGTATCCCTCTCCAATCGTCAACGTACTTTAATTTTCAGTTCTTCAAATATCTTCTCACTTTTTGTTTTAATTCATTTTTCAAAGAATTTGTTATAGTCATTTCTTAGGTTTTTAGCTTGATCATGAATACACCTGAGTCAAGTGTATGCGAATATGTGATCTCAATTCTTAAAATTAGAGACTGATAGTCCATTCTCCATAGCATACTCCATAGCTTAAGTTTTTTTAGTTTTTTATTTTTTATTTTTTATTTTTTTATATTCTATTTTTACTAAAAAAAAGGATCTAAAAACGATATACAAAACAACAAACCATTATAGGTACAAGTATAATATGTAGTTCTAGAGATGTGCATTCTAGTCACATGCATTATTTGTGGTGCAATGTAAAGACTAAAGGGTACATTTTTAACCGATTCCTATATGACAACAATTCATACTTCGCATGACACATATATATATATGGAGTAGTACTTAGTCTAATGGTAAAGTTTATATTTCAGTGAAATTAAACTCAAACTCGCTTAAAGACGATTTAAAGAAAAGTTTTTTACTTCAAATTATGTACTCTTCCTCTTCATTTTCAATGACCTAACCCATTATACAGGACTGTATAAATAACTCCGCACACACCAAAAAATAATTTACACATGCAAATTACAAATAAAAAAGTGAAAGACACACGCTCCAAGCTTTTTGCCGTATGTGGTGGGCTTCCAAACTGCCAAATCCTGATCCTTTGAAAAGAGAAAGAGTTAACAATGATACCCTTCCACTCATGCAACAGCCAACGACCTTTTCCTAGCTTCTTTCCGACAGTCCGGTTGATCTTGGGAATTATACCATTATTATCATATCTTTATATATGATTATCAGACTAATTAGAGGTTGCTACTGCACGTCTCCAATTTATTTAACAATTGCTGTTTACAAGATTGTATAATTATTATCAAAGAGGCCAGAATTAACATAATCATTATGCGACAATGAGCTAGTATTATATTTATTTTGTAGTTGTAAGTTTTGTAAATGACGAAAGTGTTATGTTTAGTACATATATAATTAGATCAGAGTTGGTCGTTTTAAGTCATATAAAGCTTTAGAAGTTGACTTTTACACGATTTTCATTGTAGCATCTGTGTTTTAGAATAAAAAAATTTTATAAACAAAATATCTTAACTCACCTATATTGTCATACTTCGCATTAAGGAATTTTGTTTGAAATAAGTCATTAAATATATAAATACAATGCAATATATATACTTCGCTGATAATAAAAAAAAATACTCATACACATTCGATTAGTGAGCCAAAAGGTTGACTTGAGTAGTGCCAGTGCACCATTTATAGAACTTGAAATCTTAAGTTCTAGTGATCGTGAAATATAGAATATGGGAAGCCTAGTCTAATACAAATTCTTAAATGAATCTGGTTCACACTAATTTATTGTGGACCACTAATATTAGAGAAACTATGATTGTTTTATTAATTTTTTAAAAAAAAGTCACTATAATAAAAATTAGGGTCACTATATTAAAATAAAAGTTATTTTGGTAATATATAGGCTATAAGAGGTTAAATTTTTTAATGAAATATTTTATATACGGGTTAATATGAAAAATAAAGGTCACTATGTTAAAATTAGGGTTATAACGTTGTATTCAAGTTCACAATAATATTAAATGTTGTACAAGTTTTAATAAAGGTTACTACCTTAAAAATATGGTTACTATGTTAAAAATAAGGGTCACTATGTTTAAAATAACATCAATTGCGTATGTATAAATATCGGGTCCACAATAATATATTATTGTGGACCAGGTCCACGCAAGTCTTTTTGTTATTCTAATTGGTAACTCAATACACTTTTACCAAAGTTATCAATTATGTGATATTTTTGAGTTGCATTAATTTAAATTATCATGAAAAACTAAAATTCGACATATATAAATCATTATTTAGCCAATTGATCATTAAAAGATCTTTACTAATTCTCAACATTTATTGATATACCACTAAACTCTATTAGGTTAGCTTAGATTAATTTTTTTTGTCACAAGATCCAAAACCAGAATTGCAGGAGAAGTCGGCTAGTCGCCACATTAATTAATTATCAACATATAAAATAAATTGGCCTTACAAGTTGCCGCAATTATTTCAATAACATGCAAATAACGAAGAAAAGGGATGAAAAGTTGGTCAAATTGTCGAAAAGTAGCATCACCCTTTGTCTCTTTCCAGGCGTTTAAGGGACTAATTACTCTTAGATTCTTAGTTAAAGTGCATTAATATTATATTAGGGGTATAGTTTAGTAAGATTGTATAAAATTAATCATAGTACTCATAAAATAATAAAAAGTTAGAATTATAGAAAGAGATTTGTTTGTTTTGAGATATCATTGTTTATACATCAAGTTAGAAATTGTGATGGGTAGCTCCGTAGCTAGCTAGGAGACGTTTACATTAGTAAAAGGTGTTTATTTTATTTTTCCAAACATATCAAAAAATATTACATGTACTTATTTTAATTCATCTACATTAGAAAGGTGGCCACCCTAGCTTTAATTAAGGGAAAGTTACTATTTATGTGAGGTTATATGAAGTGATACATGTCACGCAATATTCTCTATTTAGATCGGGATAGTATCTATATTTTTTTTTTTTTATAAAAAGTTCTTCAAAATATTAAACATAAAGAAGATACTTATCGTTTAATTTCTCTTTTTAAGCTTCAATGCATATCGATAAGACTGAATACATAGCTTAATCTTAACTTGATCGAACTAAGATTGATCCAAATTCTATCTTGAATTGAGATTGATTTGATTAGAATCGAGCGGTCATTTAATTATACTCGTATATGCACCTCTAGCAACAATAATTGAGATATTAGATACGAATTGCTAGTCCCTTTTAAAACTGTTTTGAGTGAGTAGTAAAATAGAGAATTTTTTGCGTGAGATCAGATTCATTGTAAGTCTAATATATATGACAATAATATTCTAATATATGACATTAATATTCTAATACTTCGTATATGACATTAATAATCTAATGTCAGATTTTTAATGTCAGAGTCACCTAATTTGTTTGGATTAAAGTAATACTCACATAAGGCAAAATAAAATATTCCTTTTTTTTGAGGAAAACGCCTGCGGGAAAATTTCATTAAAGGAGGTCAATTTCCGCTAAAATAAACAAAATAATTAGTGGAAACTGGAAATAAGTAAAAGATGGCGGACTTGAAGTATTGTGTTAGGTCCAAGTCCAAGTCGGCGATACGGCAAGATCTTAAAATCGTTGGTCACATGACAATCCAATACAAGTATAAATTATACTTCCTCCTTTTTTTTATTATTGCACCATAGGGGTTGGGTGCACATATTTTGGTAGTGGAAAAAAGTAAGAGAGAGAAAGGTAAAAATGTAAAATTGCCCATGTGATATATTGATAAATTTAAAAGTAAGTGTGAAAAAGCAAGGGTATGTTGGGTATTTATAGTGTGAACACAAATAATTTTTTTCCTAAAGAGGAAATGGTGCAATATTTGTGAAATTTCCCAAAAAGGCAAGTGGTGCAATAATAAAAGAACGGAGGAAGTGTACTACAGTATATAGTCTATGAAGCATGATAAATCTGAAGTTACCGTTGCTTTTTTTTCTTTTATTTTTTTAATTAGTAATTTACATTCCAACATGATGTTTGATCAAAGGTTTTTAGTTTTTACTACTCCTAGTAGGATTGCCATAATAGTGCAATGGCATGGTGTGAACTGTGAAGCTGTTACAGTGAACACAGAAAGCTGTTTCCTGTGATGTTTTTAATAAATTTAGCCCGGCGAGTTATATGAATCTGAATTCGATCTAGTTCTAAATGCAATAGTCAAATTCGCGTGATGCGTGAAAACTGTGGGAGATCGAGGTTTTGCTTTCAAAGTTGATGTTTTAATCTAAAGATAGAATTTAACATGATTAACTATAATTAGGCACAGGCACACAGCATATGATGTGTGGATGATGTGAAGAGACAAAGATACAGAAACTGGTAATGTACAGGATTAGTAGAACATGTCAAAAGAGTCGGGTTGAAATGCTGCTGCTGATATTATAATACAACTATAAATTTACTAATGTACATAAATACTTTGTATATAATAAGGTAAGATACAGAAACTGCTAATGTACAGAAGTACTTTGTATATAATAAGGTAAGATAGACGCGATTAGAATAAAATTGAAATAGAGAAATCAACATCAACCATCACTTGAATTCAAAGCTGGAAAGCTTTTGCTTAATAGTCAAGCAATTACCGCACGCATACATTTTTCTTCCAAAGAATTCGGACCGAGCACAGCCAATCAGAGTAGTGCCCATAAAAAACAGGATTTGTACAAAAATGATACAAGTAAAGCTTTTTGGTAGCACAGGTTTACATTCTGGGGTAGGTGGTGAAGGCTGAATTAAGGTTGTTGAGAATCAACATCATAAGATTCTAGGTGCAGAGGTAAGTGGTCAGTGTCAATACAGCACACAAGGAGTTTTGTTACCTTGATTGATTAGTCGGAACTTTTCCTTCCCAGTCCAACAAGAAAAAAAAGGTTTTGCGGGTAATTTACAGGTAAAATTGGGAAACTGCACACGAAAAATTAGAGTAACTTGCAAAGTGCTAATTGGCTATAAGAGGAACTGTATGAACTTGCTTGAAATAGAACACCAGAAAACTGAAAGAGCCAAGCAAAATCGTGAACTGAGTGGAGAAAGGTGATAAAACAATGACACTTCTAAAATTCAATTTCAGTGTCGAAGAGGCGGATCATCACATCAGAGACCACTCTTCTGGCAAAAGGGATGTAGCTTAGACTGTACCTGCAACAGCCAAAGAATACAAATGGTTGGTTTTGTAGTTTAAGCAGCTTCTTAAATTCTTAAGATCAAATATATCAGGAAATAGAAAATTTATCCTTCAGGAAAGCCTTATCTCACAAGTCAACATTTAGAATTTCGCGAGTTTAAATGGCCCACAGGCCACAGCAAACACCTTAAAGAGTCTTTGTCTGAATTCTGCTAGGCTTTCCTCCAACACCCTCCTCTATAGTAATATCAATTTATCCCATCACTTACCTTTTGTAAGAATATTTTCCAGCGCAAAGAACAACCATCATTCGTAAACCTAAATGCAATTGCACAATTTAGCTAACTTATATAGTTTTCTGTTTAAGAAACCATGTTGGGCTTATGTAGTGACTTTTCATTCACTATTTCTTTATCTTTAAGAAGAGGTGTCAAAACATGTCCTTTTGAGCTTTGGCACCAGAGAATGGATAGTTGGGAGACTTGATTATTTTTTTTTTTTATTCTTCGATTGTCTTATTGTACATTTGTACCCGTGGGTGGGGGGGGGGGGTGCCAAATAAGACTTCAGAGGTTGGTGTATGTTCTAAATATGCTTTCTCTGACACTGTGATGTATGACCCCTATTGTCTTCTTTAAGCCTTAATCAAATGTCCTTTAAGGGGTACAGTGTACTTAATGGTCTCCTAACTACAAAGAATTATTCATAAAGGGAAATATAGCTCCTCCTGGCCACCTCGTGATTCCACAGTTCCACCCCAGACCTGCTCTTATATTCATCAGCCTAAAAATGTTCATCAAATCATCAGCAGAAGGCTATGCTTAAGTCAAAATGTAATGTTTTCAGAGATGTCCACATCATGTATGCAAGCATGATTTCACCCCCCCCCCTCTCGAGATAGGAGGCTAGAGCAGTTCAGTAGCTCTTTGACTTCAAGACGTGAGGCCAAGGGTCGAATCCACGAAGCTCATTCTAGTAGGGATTTCACTGAAATCCCCCCTCCTAAGATAGACCTTCTCAATCCCCCCTCCCACCCCCCCCCCCCCCCCAAAAAAAAAAAAAAAGCAACAACAACAAAAAACAATGAGCAGATGAAGAACATTGGTCAATAAATAGATAGCTTCTACGTTCAGGCTTACAGATATAGAGAGAGCCACATGCACAATCATAAAGGAATGGTTAGAATAACACCCCCCCCCCCCACCTCCCCCACCCACACATGCACGCATAGGAAAAAGCAGCTTAAAATTCAGTGGATAAGAGAACTCACCAAATGAGAGCACATATCTCACATATCATAGCAAACATAGTTAAAATCTTGCTGTGGATCTGCAAAGGCAGAAAGCAAAAGAAATTGCCAATATTAGACCTTAACAAAGGCTTCAACTTCCTTTAGAAAGATAAAAGAACTAGGAGGGAAAATACACTTTAATGGCCTCTTTTATGAGAACAATAAAGGGTATGCACACCAAAGTTGAAATGCCACAAATATGTTTTATATAAGGAAGAACGAGACACTACAATCTCTATGCCATGAAATTTTTTATTGCATGGCAAACTTCAATGACTATATAATTCAAACTCTTCAAAGTGCATAAGAAAAGAAAACCTTAGCTAACTATAGAAATACATGAAGATATCAGAGGGTCATCAAGGACAAATATCATCTACAAGGATAGTTCATCGTTTCATAAAATATATCACTAAAGGTAGCCAAGGAAGTATGCCTATAGGTTTTTAAAGGAAATTGCTAATCAATCAATGATTAGTTGTTTTTTTTTTTATACATTTACCCCAAGTCTTAACTTTTTAACCTTAAGACAACAACAGCAACAACAACATCCAAAAAATATGTAATATAATGTTGCTGATTGATAAAAAGCAGACCTACCAATATAGCACAAATTAGTGCCAAAATTACACATCCCAGGTAGACTGCAGTTGCATAACGACGAACAGGATCAAACATCTTTCTTAATTGCTCAGCTGGTCCAATGAGGAAGGCTGTAGTGCCACACAAAAGAAACATGATATATAAGATCATGCAATGTGCTGAATAGTTTGGAAAAAGTGAATTTACATTGACATGGTGGCTTGCCCAAAGGTTATTCATGATTAATAACAGACAATTAGGCATAGCTACAGTTAACTTGTTAATTGAAAGTCATGTTGTGTACCCTAGTTTTAATGTCAGAGGTTACACAAGCACAAAGGTCTGAAGTTAGCAATATAATGTAAAAAATGAAACCTTTTGGATTTTTCATGAATCTTGAGCCACAAGACTGTAACCATGGATCTTTCTGTACTTGTGGGAGCAAATGCAGGTTGTATGACATATTGATTTTATTGGTAAAAGTAAAAACAGAACATGAAGTTGAAAAGCAGGCTGCAAGTCTTGGGCTACTGAGAGAATGTGGTTTCGTGTCTAACGTAGATGTAAAATAAATAAAATCAGACTCTCTGAGAGGACCTACTGAGAGAATGTGGTTTCGTGTCTAACATAGATGTAAAATAAATGAAAAATCTCCCCAAAAAAAAGCATGTTCCAAACAGTAGAAGTACATATTAACAGTTTAGGGACCTAGACTTGCACAAAAAGTGAAAATCAAGTAGTGAAAGAACATGTTTACCTTCCAACAGCCATCACATTCCCAAAAGTAAACAGCAGGGCAAACTTGATGGGCTTTACGAACACGATAATTGACTGCCAAAAATTCAAATAACACTATGTTAGGAAGAAATTTTGATGATTCACACGAAGAATTACATAAAATCCTTTTGGTCACAATTCATAAAGATAAAGCTTGTGTTATTCAAATGATATAAATCTTTCTGATTGTAGAGAGTACTATATTTTTTTAGCTTTAAGCTAGTAATGATCCTGAAAAATCCAATACACAACACATTCAAGTGAAAGAAACATGCAGAAATAAAGTTAGCATATGCTGCTAGCCTGCTAAGCTGAAATTTACCATAATAAAGCCAATCCACATGGACAAGGTGAACAAAAAAAGTCCTAATTCCTAAGCAATAAACCTTTACGCACCACCTATTGTCATGGTTGCTTATTCATTGTTTGAATACTCCCTATGAGATAAAAAAAAAAAAAAAACTGTAAAGTGTAAATATAGAAAACTAGATGGTGCTCCAAACGGCCAAACCCCAATGCCAATCCCTTTCGGATTCAAAAAGTCGCTCCCTCAATTCAGGTAGGGCCCTTAAGTTTTTTTTTCCATATCTTTATCATGTTCAAGACTGAACTAAATTCCATTCCATAGATAGAAAGCCAATGAAGGTCAAGGTCAACCATCCAACTACTTGGCAGTCAGCACAAAAGGCTCCATGAAAAAATAAACCCATTACAAGGCAGATGCTGATTGCTTAACAAATCACAACGACCCTTCATTTCCTTCTTTGTTGAAATAATTATCCACTACAAAGTCATGAATCATGATGCTATCCGGTTCATCGACCGCCCCTTTATCAGTAATTCCAGTATTACATGAAATCTAAGAAATCATTCAATGCAAAAAATAATCACACATCATGCACATTGAAATCACCAAATCCAAGGGAGCAGTATAGAATAAAGTAAACACATAAAAATTATAACTTTAGGCATAAGATGAATTCAAACAGCTAATTGACTTTCATTATACAAAAGCACATGATTCAATTATTCACTAACAAAAATTCCATCACATTAATACCCTATAATACACAAGGTACCAAAATTTTCCCCAGAAAAGAGGAAAATTGATCCAAATCCTTGAAATTAAGATTAAAAAGAAAAGGGATTCAATATTTCATTCCAAGAATATGAAGAGAAATCCGCCGAGCAGACAAGCAGCAAACGCGTACATTCTCTGCGGACAAAAAATCAAAATTTTTAGTGAGATTAAATTGGGGAAAAAAAAAAAAGCTGATGAATTTACAGAAAGAGAAAAGATGAAATGAAGAACCTGGGTGTAAGAGAGAGCACAAAGATCATCATCATCGGTTGTTTGATCGTCGAAGAAGCGTTCATTTCTTTCTTCATCATCGTCTCCTCCTAAAATGGATTTCCACATTATTTACTTGTTTTCTTTCTCTTGTTTCTGGGTTTACTTTCTTCTACTGCTGTAGCCTGAACCAATTGGGCTCTAACATTTGCAATTGCCAGCATATAAAATTCGAACTAAATGGCCTAAACGATGTCCCGGATTATCATGCGAAGTACTTAACATACTCGGTATCATATTTTATGCTTGTAAGGTATTACCAATAGAGTCACTACGGATTTACAGTGGTGGTTGAGTCTTAACCTCTTTAATACGGAGTACTCCGTAATATGGAATTCTTGAAATCAACGGACAATTTTAAGCGGATCTCGAAGTAATAAATATTCACAAGCAATAGTAACAAACATGTTCGTTTAAAATCAAGTTTATATACGTAGTACGTAAGTTTAAAAACAAGTTTATGAACGTAAGAAGTTGCATTGTTACTTCGTTTATTCCTAATCAACGTCGGTATGTATGTGCAGCTTAATCCATTAATTATGCGACATAGTGCAAACTTGGGCAAAACATTGCCCTATTTGCCACGAAGTGAATTAAAGAAATGTTGAATGTGTTATTTAATTCATTGATCCTTCATTATCTACCCATGTTTCAAAAGGTGACATGACGCACTACAACCAGGACTACATATGGCACAATGTTATTAAAAACGTATTTTAGTATGTTAGTAAGTATAAATTGTAATTTTAATTTGCCTAGGATCTAAAAATAAATTAATCGGACTGATTCAATATCGGGCCTATAAGTTATGTCCAAACCCGACTTTTTTAGTTGGGCTATGCTAAAGTTGAACATATCTAGCCATCTAATCTGGTACTCTTACTCATTAGCCGGTCATATACAAAACGAACTCATCCCTATTCACCCACATTAACCGGTGGTGGCACTCCCTCGGCTATTTTGCGCACTTTCTCTCTCCTAAACCGACTCAACTCCGAAACCATCTATTCTTCCTAAAATCTCCGACAACACAAACTCCCTCTTTCTCCAAAAACCCCAACTCAAAACCCCTGCAACTCAAATTGCAATTTCCTCAATCGAAACAAAAACCCTCAATCGAAATCAAAATCGAAATTAGGGCAAAAACAAGAATATGTCGTCGACTCTTTTGGAACTAACTCGAGGTTCTCACGAAGAGGTAGAGAGATTAGAGCGCCTCATTGTTAAGGAGCTGCAGAATGAAGGTGCTTCTTCCAGAGATCGTCTTTTGCAGAATCATCGTGTTCGTTTCATGATTGAGCACATCCTCTCTACCACTGATAAACTCGTAATTTCTCTTTGTGTTTTGATTTTAATTTTTTCAATTAGTAGATTTTGCGCATTAATTTTTCTGGGATTATGGTTTTTTATGTTATGGGCTTTGATTTGTAGGTTGAGATTTATGAAGATAAAGATGGTGCTCGGAAAGATGAAATTGCGGCACTTGGAGGTCAGACTGCTACTGGTACCAATGTGTTTAGTGCCTTTTATGATAGATTGAAAGAGGTAAACTTTTTTTTTTTTTTTTTTTTTTTTTTTTTTATAATTGCAAATTTGGTTTTCTTTGTTGTGTTAGAAATTTAGGGTGAGATTAAACTTGAATTTAGGGATATTGTTTGTTTGTGTGGGACTTTTGAAAACGTCATGTTTTCTTTATGTTTCTTTGTCTCTGAGCCTTTTGTCGAATTTCCATAAGAATTGTGGTATTTATGGATGTTGTCATGTTGGGATTGTGAAAATTTTTATTCTGAAATTTGTGTGCAGATTCGTGAGTATCACAGGCGGCATCCATCTGCGCGTGTCATTGATGCTGAAGAGGAATATGAGCAGATGTTTAAGGAGGACCCCTTGCTTGATTTTAGTGGAGAGGTATTTTTTTAATCATTAGTATTTTGTTTTATGTTTTGAGAATTCCTGCCTGGATGTGACATATTTCATGCAACTGCATTATTGAATAATTCAGGATATTTTGTATGCTTTTTTCAATTTTATGTGTTAGCCCTATTAGAGAAGTTGAGGATTAAAAATGGCACAACTGATATTAATGTCTCAAGGATTTAGAGAAGAAGTAACAAAAAATAGAAGTGTATATGAGAAAAGAAGGGAAGAAGTTAGAATCATGTATTAAAGGAGAACATAGAAATAGGTAGGACCGTAGGGGATAGGAAAAAGTGGAACACAGGAGGAGAGAGATAAAAAGCACTGTTTTTAGGGAGCGAGAAAGAGATTAATTTTGTTAATCTTGTGATATTTATCTTAATTACATCGAGTTTGGAAATGTGGGGCTTGGTTGGTGGTTTGTTTAAGTAAGTTGTGACTTACATTACAATGAAGACAAGACACTTTATTAGGAAAGAATGACCACCAAATGATTCAAGGTTACTGATGGAGGAGTCATTGTATTGGTCATTTTGTGTATTGGGACAAACAATCATGCTTAGTTTCTTTCATGGTAGTTGACATTTAAGCTTCAAATTGGGTGCTAAATGAAAGAGTAGAAAAGGTGATTTCACTTTGAAGGTGAGGAAGGAAAAAAAAAACCTTTTCTTGAAAGCCCCAAACATCATAAAATTTATCTTTCTTGCAAGGCTTGGATATGGTAGCTTTCATAATTGCATCGATAGGGGAAACTCTGGCGGGAGTTTGTAAAGGATTACATTTTGGGTTAATCATAGATGGATTTTCAATATATTGAGAATTTTTGGTACTATTGAGGTAATAGATTATTGGGTGAATTAATGCTTAAGATTTAATTTTAGCATATTTTTGGGCAGCTTTTAACCTGTTGCAAAACCCGTGGAGGTAGGTAAAGACAATAGGAAATTAGGAAGTCTATGGTACAATGGGAGTCATTCATATTGATGTTATAAGACAACTATAGTTTAAAAGATTGATGACTTTGAGTATTACTACGAGTGTGGTTGTTCTCAATGATGATGGGTATGGCTTAATGATGTAATTCCTCCATCTTTATCATCTAAGAAAAATTGGCCTTAATGACGCCAACTATTGCTTTGATGATCAGTAAACCTTAAGTGGGTGCACTCTGTACCACAAACTCCGTGTCATTAGGACTAGTAGATAAGATTTTGGATGGAGGCAAATAGTAAATACTATGAATCATCTTTTGGGGGGCAATAGATATAGGTGGTTGAGCTGTACAGATACTATCTTTGGAGAAACCGTCCTTAGCTATGATTCTATGAAGCATGGGAAAAGAGTAGGAAATAGACGGATTGATTATTTAACCCTATCATATTTCAAATCAGTAACTATTGTGCATTGATGGTTGAAGCATTTTTAACTAAGAAGCCTGTGATAGCTGCGTGTATTCAACTTGGAAGATTGACAATCTTTGTCGTTAATACTACTTTTACCTTGTGTATTTAAGGCGAAACCGAGTCTCTTGTTTTCAACTTGGAAGATTGACTGACAATCTTTGTCGTTAATACTACTTTTACCTTGTGTATTTAAGGCGAAACTGAGTCTCTTGTTTTTTCTCATGATGGAATCAGAGATAGGCATATATGCCGGTGGTGTTACATATGGATATTGAGTAACAATCAAAATGAAAGAAAATGAAGGGTCAACCCCTATAGTTGGGTTGACTGTTGTGAGAAAGTGCAGACATGATAGTAAAACTGATGGTAAAACTAAAACTAAAGAGGAAAGATCGAAGAGGTAACCTAGGTTATTGGTTGTATATTGGTCAAAGGCGCTATGATTTGGTTGGGCCTTTGGTTAAGGATAAATTTTTGGGGTTTGTTTGTGACAATAATGTATTTGTCCAAGTATTAGTTGATTAATTTTTAGCTTGGGTGCCCTTTCCATGTTTCCTAATATTTGAAAGTTATATCTCTTGTATTTTCTCGTATCTGTATGACTGTATGTGAACTTGTAATGTTTCTGCATGACTATCTATTTCTGTCCTGATAGGCTCTTAAAAACTTCTAATAAGAGGGGTCATTATTAAGGCTTTTGAACAAGAGGAGTCGTTATTCATTCTAGGAATTATCTATTTATTTATTTAATTTTTTTTCCTGTCCTTGTTCATTTGGACTTGCCAAGAACAGAAAAAGGCATCTAGGAATGATTGTGCCAAATATGTAGCCGTGTAGGCAGTCAATTTACTTTTCCTCCTTTTTCTTTCTTTTTATTTGGGGGTATCTTTGCAGAGAAGGTAGTAGGGTATATGGATGAATCATTTTTATAATGCCTAAGTCTGTAATATGTTCAAGAGATAGTTACAGTATGGTTCTTCTCTAATATGTTTCTTTTCTATCAAGCAGCCTGTATTGATTCAATTGTTAATACGACAGGTCAACAGTTCTTAACATTAAAGAGTTTACTTTGTGTAGTTTTAGTATTAATTTTGCATCATTTTTTTATCTCACAATGTTTCAATTTTATTACTTAACGTCTGTACTTTTTTTTACGAAAATGCTCAATGGAATTTCAGGAAGCATCTGGCCGGTACTTGGATTTACACGAATTCTACAATAGGTACATTAATTCAAAATTTGGTGAGCCGACGGATTACATTACTTATTTACAAACATTCTCACAGCCACATATGATTCCTCGCAAACGAAAGATGACAAGGTAAGCCCCTTCATATTTAAAGTCTTTTCTTATTTATTTGTCTTTTGTGGTCATAAATTATCTCCATCTTTTCTTTGAGCAATAGTACGAACATCCTTGTTTTTTGTTTGCATGGTGCTTCTGCAGGCAATACAAAGAGTATATTATTGAGCTGTTGGAGTATCTGATCTCTTTCTTTGAGAGAACGGAGCCATTAAAAGATCTAGATAGAATATTCTCAAAGGTTAGATCTCCCTATTTTCTTTACATAACATGTTTTGCCGAGCATGATTGATACCTTTTGCAGACTGACCTTAGATGAATAAGATTTGTTTTATGGACGGAGGGGCTGCATATCTTAATTCATTATTCTTGTATTGTTCCTTTTGCCACTGCACATTACATATAGGATTTTGTAGTGATCGGGTAGTGGCCATTTATTTTTTTTATTTTTTTTTTGAAACAATTGGCCATTTAATTACCCGTGAAGATTATTTCAAAAAAAAAAATTACCCGTGAAGAACATTGATTAAGTTTAGCTAATGTTAGTTAATCAACAAATTATGATAATTGTTAGCAATTCTTGATTTGTTTGCTTTCTAATCTATTATGCATTTGTAAAAACAGGTAGTTTCTGAATTTGAAGAGCAATGG